TTTTGTCTTCTTAAACTCTTCACACAAAATTTAGACTTCCAGGGGACCAGCAGTTAGCGTAATGACTATGTCGCTGGACTCCCATGTAGTCGACTGCGGTTCGCATCCCAGACCTGGTGGCTTGAAACTCACGCCGGGCGCGTGTGCATGCATGCCCAAGATCCCAAGAGGAGAATGGAGAAGGGATTGCGGCGTGACCATCCTCCCTGGGGGGTGATTTCTCGCTTTTTGTCTCTATGTCTCTCTCTGTCTGTCTGATGAGCGCACGTGCCCTATAGCGAAAACCTCTCCAAAAAAAAAATTTAGACTTCCAGATCCTTTTGTCTATTCTAGTCAAACCAGTTTCACCCAGAATATTGTCAGAAAGCATCTTAGCTTGGTGCACCTCAATAACACAGGTCCCAGGATCAGCAGTTAGCATAATCGCTATGTCGCTGGACTGCCATGTAGTCGATCACTGTTCAAGTACAGGACCCGGGGGCTTAAACTCACGCTGTGCGTGTGTGCGTGCATGCCCAAGATCCCAAGAGGAGAATGGAGAAGGGATTGCGGCGTGACCATCCCCCCTGGGGGGTGATTTCTCGCTTTCTGTCTCTCAGTCTCTGTCTTTCTAGCGAGTGTACACGCCCTATAGCAAAAACCTCACAAAAATAAAATAATAATAATAATAATACATGTCCCCACAGTGTGTTTTAGAAAAGTTGTAAGGAAATTTGGGTTGTCACAATTATTTTTTTTTTTTTGGAGAGATTTTCACTGTAGGGCGCGTGCGCTCGCCAGACAGACAGAGAGAGACATAGAGACAGAAAGCGAGAAATCACCCCCCAGGGGGGATGGTCACGCCGCAATCCCTTCTCCTCCATTCTCCTCTCGGGATCTTGGGCACGCACGCACACGCGCCCGGCGTGAGTTTTAAGCCACCGGGTCCGGGACACGAACCACGGTCGACTACGTGGGAGTCCAGCGACATAGCCATTACGCTAACTGCTGGTTCCCGTCACAATTATTGAGAGAAGTGAAATACCAGCGTATAATTGGGACTCTACACATCCTGCAATGCAACAAGCCTGCACAATATAATACTGTCCCATGTTCCATCTGACTTCAATATCCTGCCAGACACCTACTTCTCTGTCTAAAGTTTAGGCTATTGTAGAACTGAATATTATAAATGCCAAGCAAATTTTTTTTTAGAGATTTTTGCTATAGGGTGTGTACACTCACCAAAGAGACAGGGAGACAGAAAGCAAGAAATCACTCCCCAGGGAAATGACCATGCTGCAATCCCTTCTCCTCCATTATCCTCTCAGGATTTGGGGCACACATACACATGTGCCCAGCATGAGTTTGAAGCTGCCAGGTTCAAGACTTGAACCACAGTCAACTATGTGGGAGCCCAGCAACATAATTATCATGCCATCCACTGCACCTAATATGAACCAAAAATTCTTCTGTGTACAATACAATGGGGGAACCAGCAGGTAGCATGGTGGTTAAGGTGCTGGACTCCCACCTGATGGAGAGCAGTACAAGTCCCAAATCCAGCAGCTTGAAACTCATACCAGGCACATGCGCATGTGTGCTCAAGATCCCAGGAGGAGAATGGAGAAGGGATTGCAGCATGTCCATTCCCTGGGAGGGTGATTTCTTGTTTTCTGTCTCCCTATCTCTTGTCTCTCTGGTGAGTATATGTGCCCTACAGCAAAAATCCTCCCCCCCCCAAAAAAAAAAAGATTATCCTTTGATATAGTTAATACTACCTAGAAGTTGTACACCATTTGGAAAATCATACTCCCAACAGTAAGCCCTTATAATGCCTGAGGCGCCAACAGAGCACCTGCTGCAGCTGCAGTGTTTACACTCGGTTGTAGTGCACAGGTGCAAGCAAATGACTACTTTGTATTTTCTTCTGTAAACATGTTTCAGCCTTTACATTCTGAAATATTGTTTTGCTATTTTATTTTTTAAGAGATTTTTGCTATAGGACACATGTACTCACCGGAGAGACAGAGACAGAGAGACAGAAAGCTAGAAATCACACCCCCTCCCGGGGTAGGGGGGGAGGCCACACCGCAATCCCTTCTCTAGGGATCTTAGGCACACATGCACACATGCCCAGTGTGTTTTAAGCTGCCAGGTCTGGAGACTTGAACTGCGGCTGACTACGTGGGAGTCCAGCAATGTAACCATTATGCCATCTGCTGGTCCTGCTATTTTATAAAAAATATTATTTATTTAATTTCATTTATTACTATTATTATTATTTTGACTAGACAGAGACAGAGAGAGAGAGAAAGGGAAAGTGAAAAATGCAAGCCACCAGGGGGACCAGCAGTTGGCTTAATGGCTGCTACGTTGCTGGACTCCCGTGTAGTCGACCATGGTTCGAGTCCTGGACCCAGTGTCTTAAACTCATACCAGGCGCATGTGTGTGCATGCCCAAGATCCCGAGAGGAGAATGGAGAAGAAAGGATTGTGGCATGGCCATCCCCCCTAGGGGGTGATTTCTCACTTTCTGTCTCTCTGTCTTTCTGGCAAGTGCAGGTGCCTTATAGCCTCAAAAAAAAAAAAAAAAGATAAAAGATAAAGTAAGCCACCAGGTCCAGGACCCAAACCACTGTCAATCACATAGGAGTCTAGCACCCTAAACATGATGTCATCTGCTGGCCCCATAGACTCGCTATTTTTTAGAGAGGTTTTTGGTATAGGGAGTGTTCTATTATCCATGTTCTATATTACAGAACAGTGGAAAAATGGTCTTTTGAGGAATCTGGTAGTAATTAAACTGAGAACCTCTAACATAACAAGCCGCTCTGAGATTTCCCATTTGCTTACCAGGCTACTGTCGACCATATGATCACACCATACAAGGGCTCATTCCCATTTTCAAGGGTCCTAGGCTATTTTATCAGGGTCCATATGTGCAGATAATAAAACTGTATGGTCCTTACAATTTTTAAATGTTTCACACATGTGATCTCCTTTGCCGCTCAGAGTCCTATAGGAAAAACAAAACAAAAAGTTTTTGTTTTTTTTTTTTGGAGAAGTTTTTGCTAAAGGGCGCGTGCGCTCGCCAGACAGACAGAGACAGAGAGACAGAAAGTGAGAAATCACCCCGCAGGGGGGATGGCCACACCGCAATCTCTTCTCCTCTCGGGATCTTGGGCATGCACGCACACGCTCCCGGTGTGAGTTTTAAGCCACTGGGTCCAGGACGCAAACCGCAGTTGACTACGTGGGAGTCCAGCAACATAGCCATTATGCTAACTGCTGGTCCCAAAACAAAAAGATTTTCTAACAATTCTTCTCACCAATGTAGGGTATTAAAGTAACAACAAAATCAAACAACACACCTTGTTCTATTACTGAGCCTCTGCCCTATCTTCTCTTATGGACTGTCAGAGATCCCTGAAATTTTCTAGATTCTCAACCGGATAAAAAATTAGAACTTCGGGATGGAAGGTGGCATGGTGATTAAGGTGGCTGGACTCCCACACGGCTGACCATGGTTCGAGTCCCGGACCTGGCAGCTTGCTTTCTCACTTTTCTTCATTCTCTCTCTCTGGTCAGCTTCGAAAAAATAAATAAATAAAATAAAAATAATGACAATGAATAACATTAAATAAAATAATAATATTTAAAAAACACACTTAGAACTTCACTTTATGGGTTTACTTCAGCCTCCATATGCAGAGATGAGAAAATCCAGATCCATGAAAAGTTAGTCCATGATTCTGAGAAAGCATATTTTGAATCAGGGGTTAAGAATATATGGGGGGGAGGGCCCAGCAGTTAGCGTAATGGCTATGTCACTGGACTCCCATGTAGACCACCACTGTTCAAGTCCCAGACCCAGTGGCTTAAACTCACACTGGGTGTGTGTGTGTGCATCCCCAAGATCCCAAGAGGAGAATGGAGGAGAAGGGATTGTGGTGTGGCTATTCCCCCCGGGGTGGGGGGGGGTGAGTTCTCGCTTTCTGTCTCTCTGCCTCTGTCTTTCTGGTGACCGCACACGCCCTACAGCAAAAACCTCTCAAAAAAAAAAAAAAAGAGCCAAAAGTTGAACAAAAGATTCTAAGACTCCAAGATTGTTCTCAACATACCATACTTACCCACTGATCAAATCATATCAAGACTAACAAAACTACTGGAAATTTTACCCCAGATAAAACCCTGCACTCTACCTCTACTTTTCAGTTTTTGCTGTAGGGCATGTACACTTGCCAGAGAGAGACAGACAGAGAGAGAAAAAGTGAGAAATCACCACCCATTGGGGATGGCCACACCACAATACTCCATTCTCCTTTTGGGATTTTGGGAATGTACATATACACACCTGGCATGCCTTTCCAGGAGGCGCTGGCTGACCATGGTCCAAGTCCTGAACCTGACAGCTTGCTTGCTTGCTTTCTCACTGTCTCTCTCTCCCTCTCTCTAGTCAAATTTAAATAAATAAATAAATAAAGTTAAATAAAATAATTCTTTTTGAAACAAAGAATATATGGGATAGCCAGGGCGGCAGGTGGCGTAGTGGTTAAAGGTGCTGGACTCCCACAGGGCTAATCGCAGTTCAAGTCCTGGAGCTGGTGGCTTGCTTTCTCACTTTCCCTCCCCCTCTCTCTATCCGTGTCTCTCTGGTCAAACTAGAAAATAATAATAATAAAGCTAAATAAAAATAATTCTTAAAAAAGAAAAAAAGAATATACGGGCTGGTCTCTTCACTACTCTCGTTTTCTTCAGCGCAAACTAGACGAAAAAGCGGACGTTACCAAGGCAAGACCGGACGTGGCTGCAAGGCCCAGCGGCGGCCCCCGCCCCACGCCCCGCCCCCAGGGCTGTCCGCGGCAGTGCCTGACTGGCGGCCGGCACAGGGGGCCTCGCGGGGTCCTTTATACGGGCTTCCGGCGCGCTGCCTGAGCGGGTGCGCGGGCGGCTTCCGGTGTGGGTGACGAGTGGGGGGCGGAGCGAGGGGGGAGCAGCCCCAGGAATGATTTAGACGGCGGCTCGGAGAGGGCTGATGGGCGCATCGTGAAGATGGAAGTGGACTACAGCGCCACGGTGGACCAGCGACTGCCCGAGTGCGAGAAGCTGGCCAAGGTGAGCGGAGGCCGGCCGGCTGTTGGCGGGCGCCAGGGGCTGAGTCACGGCGCGGAGCCTGCTTAGGCCTCAGGGGGCCTGAGAGCTGAAGCGCGCCTCCGCTGGTTGTCTGCGGGTCCCAGTGGGGCCCACAAATAGGCATGACTGGGAGACCCTCGGTGTCCACGGCCAGGAAGGCCCCGCAGCTGGAGTACGCTAGTGCAGACAGTTTCCGAAACCCTACCCAAGGCAGATGGTCACTTCCTTCATCCTCGTTGGGCTGGGACCCCGTGGTCCCTTTTGTCTTTTTTTGGATCCTGTTAGAGTAGCGTTCCCCTAGGAGTCGTGGCCGCTTCAGCGTTCGGGCTGGATCGGAGGGGTTAGTTCTGTTGCTGCTACCGAATCCATTTAAGCCTTCGTCGTTTGTGAATCATGGCCGGTGTGTCCGGAAGAAGGGACAGGAAAATGATAGTGCAAAGAGGATTAATACGGGACACCTGTCCTTAAAGAGTTCACGCACACAACGAACTAGTCGAGTCATGCGTGCTGCGTGCCATCCGAATGTGAAGTGTTACTGGAATGCAGAGAAGGAAGCCGTTCGTTCTCCCTGGTGAGATAAGGGAAGGTTTCACAGAAAAGCTGTCGTTTGTCTTGGAGAATTATTATAGTAAGACGGGATGAGGAGGAGTCACCTCTGAAGCAGGAACTTCGAAGTAAAGGCTCTAACCTAACCTGGGGTGGTAACAAACAATAACCTGTATGCTCTCATAGAATATTGTAGAAACTTACCTTGACCAAAACAGTTTCACACCTTGCTATGTGTCTGTCATTTTACTTGTAAAGAAACCAGAACTCAAAAGTTATCCCCTAATGTTAAGCAAGTAATAGGGAGAATCAGGGAGTGAGAACTAGGTTTGCCCTGATAGGTATGCCTCGTTCTGAATCCGGTCCACTGTGGGCTGTGCTCAGGCCTCATATTCCTGGATCAGTTCAGCCACAGACGCATATTCACCTGGGATGTGTTCACTGAAAGAGTTCTTTCTGTTCCTTAAGGAACTTGCTATGGAAGTATATCACAGTATAGTAAATTTGGGGGTAAAATGGTTGTCAAATAATAGGTAATACTTAGTTCTTAGAAAGATACCGTTTTTAAAAAAGAATATTTAATTTAACTTATTTATTTCAATTTGATCAGAGAGGGACAGAGAGAGAAAGTGAGAAAGCAAACCACCAGGTCCAGGACTTGAACCATGGTTAGCCACGTGAGAATCCACTCTGCCACCTGATGGTCACAGCCAGATACCTTTTCAAATGCTTTCTTAAAAAAAAAATAAAAAATTAATGGATCAGGACCAGCAGTTAGCATAATGGCTGTGTCGCTGGACTCCCACGTAGTCGACTGCGGTTCGAGTCCCAGACCTGGTGGCTTAAACTCACACCGGGTGCGTGTGTGTGCATGCCCAAGATCCCAAGAGGAGAATGGAGGAGAAGGGATTGTGGCGTGGCCATCTCCCCTGGGTGGTGATTTCTCACTTTCTCTCTCTCTGTCTGGCAAGCGTGCACGCCCTTTAGCAAAAACCTCTCCAAAAAGAAAAAAAGAAAAAAAAATTTAATGGGTTTACCACCACCACTGGGGGTGGTGGTGAAAGATTATGAAGTTGGTACACTTGTGCTTTATAGGTTTGGTATGCTTGCTCAAAAGCCATGCTTTTTCTGAGCTTGCTTTCTTTCTTTCTTTCTTTTTAAGATTTAATTATTTACTTCTTGTTCTTATTACCTTTTAATTTGCCAGAGAGACAGAGAGAAGGAAAGTGAGACAGAAGCTGCCAGGTCTGGGACTCAAACTGTGGTCAGCATGCTATCCACTGGCCAACTTTTCTAAGCTTTCTAGCAGCTAGTTGTAGACTCCTCATCAGTCATACACGGTAGGAAAACTCAAATGCCCACAGGGCCACACAGATCACAATAGCTGCCATTTATTGATGCTTTTCTATAGTGCCAGGCACTCTGCTGGATACTTAGGTGCGTAACACGTTTGATCTTCAACCCAGTCTTATGTGATGGGAAGTACTGTTCTTTAAGTTTACTTCTTTCGTGAGAGAGAGAGAGAGAGGCAGGAACCCTAGTTGGATCCTCATGCCTTATCTACCCTCTTTGTCAGCTAGCCAGGATCGTGGTCACATAGCGTGCTTGGAGTATACACAGGAGCTTGGGACATGAACCTCAGCTCTTTCCTGTGGCTTCAGCCTTGTGTGGCGTTACATTACTGCTGCACCACCACCTGCCCCTGCTATTCTTACTTCACAGGCAAGGAAACAAGCTAAATGCCTATAGTCATGCATGCAGTTAGTGAAGTGGTCGAGCCATGATGAAACCTAGGCAGATCCATTGTGGAATTTGTGTCCCCATCCACCATACTGTCTGCCTGGTGAGCCAAGTGTGATGAAAACCTGAAATGAGCATCTGCCCAGGCAAAGAGGTGCAACTCTTCACCTCCAGTTAATTTTTGCCAATGAAAGTTGAGCTTGTCAGTGCTGCTCATTTGAGGGAGAAACCAGGATATATGGATTCTTATATTAACTATCTTAATATACTTAGAAACTGGAGAGTATGTGTTTTAAAAATTATTTGAGCTAGGGCCAGCAGGTAGCATGGTGATTAAGGGTGCTGGACTGCCACAGGGCCGACTGTGGTTTGAATCCCAGACCTGGCAGCTTGCTTCCTCACTTTCTGGCACGCTTTTTTTCTCTCTCTGTCCCTCTCTGGTCAAATTAAAATAAATAAATAAAGCTAAATTTAAAAAAAACTCTTAAAAAAATTATTTGAGCCAATACTGTGCAGATCAGTTATTGCTATAATAAAATAAAAATTAAATATTAATGTAATTGTAGCTACTGTGTGGCGTGCTGGTTAAGACACTGTACTCCCACATGGGCTACTGAGAAATGAGTCCTGGACCTGGAGGCTTGCTCACATGATCTCTCTCTCTCTCTCTCTCTCTCACACACACACACATGCCCTGTAGCAAATTGGAGAATAATGATAAATAAAGTTAAATAATTCTCCTGAAGAATGGAAAATGTTAATAATGGGGCCAGCTCCATAGCCTTGTAGTTAAGACAGCCAGATCCCTGGGACCAGCAGACGGTGAAATGGTTAGACGGTGAAATGGTTACATCACTGGACTCCCTCATGACTGACTGCAGTTCAGGTCCCTGACTCAGTGACTTAAAGCTCACACCAGGTGCATGTGCCTGTGTGCCCAAAATCCCAAGAGGAGAGTGGGGGAGAAGGGATTATGGTGTGACCATCCCCACAGGGGGTGATTTCTCACTTTTCTGTCTCTGGCAAGCACACGCACCCTGTAGCAAAAATCTCTCTTAAAAAAAAAAAAGGAAGATAGCCAGATCCCACATAGCTGACCTTATGATTTGAGTTCCAGACCCCATGGCTTGAGAGTGTGTGCCCAGGATCCTGACAGGATGGAGAAATGGAGGGGATGGATTGTAGTATGACCATTCCTCATGGAGGGTACTTTTCTCCCTCAACCCTCCCTACAAGTGCATGCACGCTCTGGCAAAAATTTTTCTTTAATGTTAGCTACTATAATAATGATAAAGAACACACTGTGTGTTTGGCCATACTTGTATAAGTATTGGCTTAATTCTTTTTTACGAATATTTATTTATATTTATTATTATTATTTTACTTTGACCAGAGAGAGAAAGAGAAAGGGAATGTGAGAAATCAAGCTGCCAGGTCTGGGACTTGAACCGCAGTCAACCATGTGAGAGTCCAGTGCCTTAACCACCATGCTACCTGCAGACCTCAGTATTGGCTTATTAATTCTTACACCAACCCTGTGAGGTGCATACTGTTATGCACCTCATTGAAGAGAAAATTGGATTCAGAGTTTTGAGTGTCTTGCCTAAGGTCCCAAGAAGTCTGGCAGCAAAGTTTTTTGTTGTTGTTGTTTGTTGTTGTTGTTAATTTTTACTTATTTCCTGAGGAGAGCAGGCCCCTCAACAGAATCTCACTTCACAGTTCTCTCTCCAGTCCTGCAGCCCACCAGAATTATAAGTATGTTAAAGTAGACCTTGGATGAGAACTTGGAGACTTCTGTTCTTAAATCGAATATATCCTTTGGTTCTCCTTTCTTTTGATATCTTTTCATTGCTTTGGCCACTTATAACCTCTTCTCAAGATTGCTATTAAAAGTGAGATCAACAGTTTGCATAGTGGCTATGTCACTGGACTCCCATGTAGTCGACCACGATTCAAGTCCCAGACCTGGTGGCTTAAACTCACGCCGGGCACATGTGCATATGTGCCCAAGATCCCGAGAGGAGAATGGAGAAGAAGAGATTGCAGCGTGGCCATCCTCCCGGGTAGTGATTTCTCGCTTTCTCTCTCTCTCTCTCTGGTGAACGCACGTGCCCTATAGCAAAAACCTCTCCCCGTCAAAGAAAAAGATCACTATTAAAAATAAAAAGGCAGGACCAGCTCATGAGAAACTGGAGCCCATGTGGTGACCATGATCGGAATCCAGTCTGGTCCAACTGGAACACACCAGGCATGTGGGCAAATGCCCAGGATCCAACAGTTTGGAGGGTTAGAGGAAGGAGACCTCAGTGGCCAGACCCTGCGGAGGATACTCTTCTCTTTTTCACCCTTAAATTGCAAACATGTGCTCTGTTAAAAAGAAAAAAACGTAAAACAATTTCCTGCTTGCAGTTTCGGCAAGGGGACCCCTTTAAGGAGTAGGTCTTATTTTATTATTTTTTTTAATGCCAGGAGGCAAATACGAGCCCTCCGACAGAGCTTGAACCTAGTCATACCACAACCCTTTTCCTCCAGTTCTCCATCCTGTCAGCATCCTGGGCTTGTGCATGTACCTGGCTTGTTTTTCAAGCCACTGGGACCAGGACTCAGATCCTGGTTGGTAATATGGAATCTAGTTTCCTCTGTGGAGTGTAATGGCTGCACTAGGAGGCCAGCCCATTTCATTTTTAAATGTTGGA